TATTTCTGAAATCGACAAAAAATTTGGAAATTTAATTTCCGAAATCGAAATTATATTAATGTTTTTAATATTCTTATATCAAAAGGATTAAAGTTCATTAAGAGAAAAACAATTCTTCTTCTTCAATCTATTGGCACATTTATTTCTACACGCCAATAAGGAAGGGAAAATTATAAGACACCATGGTGTCTTCAAAACGCTAATTTTTGATATTTTTAACAACCCTATAAAAAAAAAAAAAAAAAAAAAAAAAAGGTAGTGGGGCTTCCAGGGGCTGCGCCCCTTCTAGCCCCGAAGATGTTTAGTATAAAATGAGGTTTTTATTCGGAAAATTGTTAGTCTTCTGGTGTGAATTCGGAGGACTCTTCGTGTTTCTCTTCTTCGTGTTTCTCTTCTTCTTCCTCTTCCATTGCTTCTGGGAAGAAGTCTTCTTCTGGGTCGAAGACATTATATAATGTGTAATTGAATGACACATTATATCTTTCTTTGAGTTCGCTCCTGACAAAGAACTTAGTTCCAGGAATACAGAAGACTTCTGTGCGTTGGAAAAGCTGATGTCCTGGAACAAATTTGGCAATTAGAGACTTCTTTTTTCCGAATTGTTCAGGAGTTTCCATGACGACAGTAACAACATCTCCATCTGCGAGGTCTTGTTGTTGTTCGGAAAGGTAAAGAGCAATGATATAAATGGTTGCTGCGTTGAATTCGAGAAAGTCGAATTCAAATTGTGTAGTCGTATAGCAGTCAAACCATTTTGTACAGTTGTCTCCGAACTCGTCAATGTATTCATCTTGGTCATATCCGTAACTAAAGACTTGGAATTCGGCAATTGTCTTGTCGAATGACCGTTGGATGTTACGAGGAAGATTTTGACGAACTTGGTATAAAGTTCTCAACATTATGAGCTTAGTAAATGTTGGAAAATACTGAACTAAGACATCGCTAAGCTCAATTGGACTTGGAATTGTCTTAGTAAGTTCAATTGAACTAGCAATTGCTTTGTTCAGAACTTCACAGAACTGAGTATTGTATATAGCGTCTGGTTGTGTGTTTTCTTCGGCGTCTTTGAGATATTTAGAGCAAATTTGTTGAAGAATTTCTCTTAATTCGCTGTTAGACTTTTTGGCGGTTATTCTAACAGCTGTGCCAGTTCTTGGAGGTTGTGGGGCTTTGGCTTTGGTTAGCGGTTGAGAATTGTTAATGTTGGCTTCCATTAGACAAAAATAAACTGTTTTTTTCGGACTACTCATAGAAAAGTTTAAAATAAACCGTTTTCGTCAACGGTAAACCCCCTCTATTTTTTTTTTTTTTTTTAATAGTTACCGTTGGCAAACCGTTCCATCTCAAATATTGAATGAACTATAAACGTTTTTTGTTTTCTATATATACTTTTTTGTCCAACGGTAAAACTTTTTACACAACGGTTTTTGAGAGTCGTCGCCGTTGACTTTTTTGTAGAGCACTCAAATAGTACAGCTTTGTCTGGACAAGTAAGGGTCTATCGTCGCTACAGGAAAAGTTACAGGCGTTCCAAGGAAGTATACTTTGAGAAGACTTTCCCCTTATAGAATGAGATAGGACGGTTATTTTACAAAACTGACAACACTTTGACCGAGTAGTTTTTTTGTGCTGAACAAAAAGTGTCATATAAACATCTGTCAAAACCGCTTTTTTAACTTCACTTAAAATGCCACGTAAGCTACGTAAGAATATACGTAAGAGGAAGAGAGCATTGAAACATCCAATAGTAAGACTGACACCACAACAACAGTTGCAACAACAAATGCTGAATGACCCCACTATGTTTGCAACAAATGTCAAGCAATCCTATGCTTTTAAACGAGTTGTTGGTGCACAGAGTGGAGGTTTAAGAGCGGCACTTTTAAGCGAAAATGGCAGGCTATGGTGGAGCTGCAGACGGAACAGCTTATAACCCTCAAAGTCAAATGAATTTGAGTTCACTCAAAAATCAAATAACAGATGTCAAAAAGTCAAACATAGACATACAGAAGCAAATAAGTGAAAACGAAAAGAAACTATAGAATATGACAGACACACAAAGAAACTAAATGAGTTAAACGTAGAGAAAAAGAAGAAAGAAGAACAACTGAAAGAACTAAGTACAGAGGAATATGCGAAAAAAGTGTCAGAAAAAGCAGCAGAAGTAGCAAAAATGGAACAAGATGTCATAAATTTGAAAAACCATACTACTCAATATAAAATACTGAAAGATGAAGAGATAAAACAAAAAGCCCTGAAGACATATATGGATAGCGATGAGTATAAAAAAGAAGTTGAAGCAAATGTAAAGGCAGAAAAACTTTTACAGTTGCAAAAACCAAACCGTACAGTATGAAAACTTAGCACAAGAAAGTAAAAATAACGACGCGGCTATGCAAAAGGCAATGAAAAGCGCAAATATATAAAAAGCCAACAATGACTGGTTAGATGCCCAAGCCAACGCTAAAGCAGCCCAACTCATAGGGTCAATAAGGACAAAAATACAAGCGGATGAAGATAGTTCAAATGAAGCTTTAACAAATGCTGACTTTAAGAACGCCTTCGAAGCTCTTCATAGTAAGGTGAAACAAGTGAACGACTTCTCATCTGGAAAAAAACTGAAGTCTGAAAGGTTTCGACAAAGAGTTAAAAGAAGTAGCACAAAATATGACGAAAATAACAGATGCAGCAACGAGACAGGCAGTTCAAAGTGCCTATGACGCCGTTAGAGCAACTGTTGTGAAAAGTCAAGAAAAAGAGTTACAAACAGACCAAAACAGACCTAGTAAATGCTTTTTAAAAACGAAAAAGTCAGGTAGGACATTACGCTGCAGATGGAACATATGTGCCAGCTGTGGGAACTTATATACCAGCTGTTGTGGGACTTATATATACTAGCTAGTGGAACTTATATACCACCAAACCCTCCAAGAGAAGCACCTGCACCAGGACTACCTAAAACATTTACATCGTCACATGGACGCAGACACAGGCATGCACCAAAACCAACACAACAACCAACAGTTCAAAATCCAGCACCACAACCAACAGTTCAAAACACTGCACCACAACCAACAGTTCAAAATCCAGCACCACAACCAACAGTTCAAAACACTGCACAGCAACAACCACAAACAGAGCAAGGACATAAAAGAAGTAGAGAACAAGGAAACCAAGAATTCTTAAAAATGCTTAAGGAAGACTATGGTTACCCAGATACTCTTGACTTTAGTGACAGATATAAAGAAGCTATTAGAAAGTTCAAGGAAGGAAATACTGACCCGAACCTATTTAGCTTTATGGCTCAACACCAAATCGGATATAATTTCAAACCTGGAAAATACAAGCTCGCAAAGGGATATGATTTAATAGCATATCATCCAAATGACATGAACGAATTTACTCCGAGATATTTGGTGTCAGAGCTAAATGATGATTCAACTATCTTCATGAAACGCGTAAAAAATAGAGACGGAACGAAAGAAGAAAGGCTTATGAATGCAGATGACTTAAATAGGGAACTTGTTAAAAACGGTCTCGGAATATATGAAATGCCAGCAGATGAGGTACAAGAAAACTCCACAGGAAGAAGTTCAGATACAACCAGACATGGAAGAAATAGTTCAGCAACAACAGCTAGAAGAGCCTGAAGGAAACGAACAAGTCTCCTTTGGAAACTAACTTCACAGAACTAGATGAAGATTTGGAACAGCCGAAAAATCTTGACCCTCAACAAGAGTATGCGGAGAATATGGAATATTTCCAAGAGTCTAAAAAAATTCGGCTGACATAGTAGAAGAATATCGAAAAATGTTTGCCGACATACAAAAGACTCCAACACCAGATGAAAATATTCAGCATAGAATGGAAGAACTGAAAAAAATGTACACAAATACAACAACCCTTTTTACTTACGAGCATTTAACGTTCAATCTTCGGATGAACTCGGTGAAAATAAAAGGTTAAATTTCAAGAAAACATATAGAAATGAAACATTGTTTAAAGTTCATTCAGAACCTAACCAAGATGGAAACAAACCTACTTTTGTTTCTGCAGACGATGGAACTACAATGAGATGGGGTCATAAAGCTAATCCAGATAGGTGGTTCATAAACTTACAACCACAATTCCAAGAAGTTGTAGACGCAATGGAAGTGAATGGTGAACCAGATATAGCTGGTATTTTCAGCGCGGCTTTAATGCCATTGAAAGATATGAAAGATGCAGATATTTTGACCAGTATGAAATGAACATGGCTGATGGAAATATAACACCTGACGTTCTAGAACATTTATCTCAAAGAACTACACAGAACCATAGAGATGGTATATTTGGTGAAGAGTTTAGAAAGAAAGTTAGGGAGAGCGAAGGAAGAGAACCTATTGTACATGACCTTGCAAACGAAAGTTTACAAAATGTCATAAAAACTTACTTTGCAGACAATGAACCGAGAAGGGATGAATATTTAAGAAAACTCAAATGGACAGTACCAAATGAAATGTTAGTATTGAAAAACATGTTCCTTGACAAAATAAAACCAACTACAGAAATAAACGACGCAAGACTGAAAGATTGGGTAAAAGCTTTCCCATTCACAAAAGATATAGTTGGTAACATGGAAAGAAAACCAGAATGGCTACAAAAACATATATTTGGAAACGAGCTTATTCCATATGGACAGCACTGTTTGAAGAGCTTGAACCAGAAACTCAGGAAAGAGTCATGCAAACAATACGCGAAGACTCAAATACAGACTATGACAAACTCTTTCTAGGATATAGGTTACCTGAGATGGGCGACCAGAGCCAAAAGGCAAAAAGGACATGGGAAATTTGCAACATACTAGATGAACATAATGCAAAGATGCAACAACTTCAAGCAGAGGGCAATGAAGGAAAAAGAAGAGTTAAAAACTCAGTCAGGAAGAAAGTAAAGCTTGGTCCACGTGGGTTCTATTATGACATATAAATCCAACTATTCTATATTTTTACTCATATGAAATGTACGCCGCTCAGAATATAACGCCAACAGTTTTGGATGCCATGAATGGAAATGTTTCCGAATGGTATAACGAATGCGACAATGCCATTAGAAGGTCAGAAATAGTTCCTGGAACTTACGAATATACAACTGCTGTTTCTTATGGAAACGTAGGTGAGTTTGGAGAAGGTTCTTCAACAACAGTAGATATTGCTTGCGACAGGTTTCATATAATTTCTATTGACAACTCTTTCTTATACGTGGAACAAGACATTGAAATAAAACCTTCTGCCAAGTTGTCTGACAAGAAAGGTTGCAATGGAATTTTCTATGTCGGATACCAATATGCTCCAGAAGTTTTCATGGGATATAAGATATATTCTAACTCTGACTTAGTTCAAACAGTAACATGGGCAAACTATGAATGGTTCGCTTTGAGAAACTCAGTACAACCACAAGCTAGAGAACAAACAGACCAGTATGCAACTATTGAGAAAATAAGAAGACTTGACCCTAACGTTCCAGGAGTTTATGTTAACCTTTCTGGACAAACTGCAGCAGCAGTAACCAAAGTAAAATTGAAACTTAGAGTTCCTTTGTCATCTTTCCTCATCTTCAGGTTTTTAAGATACTTGCCAAACTGGGCAGGAAAAATTTCTATCGAACTTACTCCAAGCAAAAATAACTTAGTCATTGCACCAACACAAGACCCATTCACTCTTACAGAAGTAGTGGGAACAAATAAAATGTCATTCGCCGACTTTTGCAAAAACAAAGTTGACTTAGACTTTGGTTTCTCAAACCTCAACACTGAAGTAAACTATTATTTCAATGCTGCTGGAGATGCTTGGGACCCAGTTAAGTTCACATGCGAAAAGTTTGAATGCAAGAGAATAGAAAGCAGACTTGCAGTCTATATGTTGGACCCAGATATTTCAAATGCTTTAGCTGCCAAATATATTGCAGTTCCACTTATGTTCCCTATACACCAAATATCTGTCAAAGACTTTGCAGGTGAAGTTGGAAACCAAAGTGCTGACCCAGGTGCAAGAACAGATATTGCTTTAACAACTGCAATGAAACATGCAGATACTATGTTTGTTCTTTTCAGACGAACTATAAATGACTATTCTTGCTTCTACAACCCTGGTATTAAATATCATATAAACATAGATGGCAAATATTATCCAAGAGAAGAATATTCTACAGTTGAGGATATGAGGTCATACAACTTGACATTAGATGCTATGAACTTTAACAACAACTTCACAACAACCATTAACCCTGAAATGCAAAGTTCTATTATGCCATATGTGAAAGTATGGACCCATACAGGAGCTCAAAACACTCAATATACAAATGGAGACCGTTCAAACTTTTGGCTTGGCATTCCATTTGCTGACTCAGAAGACTTTATGGGTGGTATTTCAACTGTTGGTACAGTTCAAATACAATATACTGGTGACAGAGACGGTCCAAATGAATTGAAAGCAAAGAAGTTTACAAAACCAATAGCACTTTTCACGGAAGATGCTCTTTTGAAGATTCGTTCGATGAAACCTGCTGGGGCTCCTCAGATTGGCATAACGACAGCTTCCATCGAGCAGATTTTGGCAGCAGGTCAGTAAGTTGTTCTTGAACTGACTTCTCTCCGTCAAATATTGACAGTACGCCAGTTTTGACATAAAATTGTATTATAAACTTACCTTTAGAAATATCGGTCAGTTTTGTTGTTATATTTTTGTCTGCTTCAAGAACTTTCACCATTTCAGTTATACCAACTTTCTTTGCTTTATGAAAATATTTTGGTTCAGCAAAGACTGCTATTCTATAACATTTTCCATTGTTTGTGTAAAGAACTATTCTGTCAATGTATTTGTATTGTTTGTGTGTGTAAACTTTGTTCTGCTTCAATTCGAAGAGATACTCGAATACGTCCATCTTTTTATTCTAAGTAAAATGTCATTTCCGAAAAATAGAAGCGTAAGTGTTTCAAAAGGTTTAATGGCGGTGGCAGATGTGAAGTTAAATTCACCAACTCAAACAAACAGTCAAAGTGTTGTTGTCAATGTCAAAGAAAGAGATGTTGAAGTGGGGAAACCATACGAAGACGAAGATGGTATAACAATAGTTCCTGTAAAAGAACAACCAACATACCCTGAAGTTAGCAGAGACTTAAGTTCTGTTGCAGATATTCGAAACGACTACCAACAACTTAAAGACAAACTTAAAACTCAGGAGAAGATTTGTCAAGCTTTGGGTATAATGTTAAACTTGGTGAGCACAACCCTGTAAAAGTGAACTCATATGTCATCGCACCTCATGAAATTTTGAAAGAACTATTGAAACTTTTGACAGAGGCAGACGATATAAACATCAAAGAAATAGAACCCGACGTTAGTTGCTGTGGTGTTTCATATAATGTCATTGACAAGATATACGTTATGAAAGGAGGTGAAACGTTGAACTTAAAATATAGTTTCCCAGACGTCATAAAAATATTTGACGACCACAACATTTCATTAAAATTTACTTGCTAAGTAAATGGCAGAAGACATAGTGGTTTATACTATTACGACTAAAAACCCTGAGTCATATAATTCTATAACAACAAACTTACAAAGTCCTCAAGGACGATATTGTAAACTGACCTTAAACACGATGACGACTAAAGCCTGTTTTGCTCTTTTGACACCAGAAGACTTTGTTGTTGTGAATGGTAAAAAATACTTCTTTGAAGATACTTACTCAGATATACCACCAACAGGTTTTGTTGACTTATTTAATACTTTAAGGACGGATGTAACATGTGCTGCAACTAGAGCAGGTTTCATTATGTTTGGATGTCCGACTGAGTTTACTATAAACGATATGAGCTATAATACAAAACTTATATCTGGTTTTTACTACCAACAGTTTCCTATAACAGGAAAAGGTGTCATACAAGGAATGTCTGTTCCATTGACTTTAAGTACACCAATCTTATATATTGTTTCAAACTTAGGTTCAAAGTGTTATTCGAATGTCGACAGAAACTACTATGACCAAAAGATACTCATGCGTATAAACAACACTTTCTCTGCTGGTTTGCCTATTGTTCATTCGAATGCAGAGTTTTCAGCTTTAGTAAACTCAAACACTTTAGCAAACATAAACTTAACCTTAGTTGACGCAAACTTTGTTCCTGTAAAACTTTTATGTCCTATGTATTTGTCAATGACGGCAGAAAGTTTCGAATTGGAAGATGCAACTGGTGAAAGTATTGTACTACAAGAACAACTTCAACAACAAATAGCTCAAGAACAACAAATGCAACAAATGGAACAAATGGAACAAATGCAACAACAAAGTCAAGAATAAAAAAAATATTTTTTTTATTTTTATAAAAATGTACAGAATAGACGTTTCAGATTTTTATGACTTCCAAGCGTTCAGAAATATGTGTCCATTTAGAGACTATAACAAAGCAGTCGAGAATTTGAAACGTTTAGTCATTTATGTTGACTCTGCCCCAGAATGTTATGTTATGAAAGAATGGGATGTTGTCTTTAACAAACCAAGAGCAACCATAGTTTCAGAACAAGAATGTAGACAGAAACTTAAGAAAATAAAAGTTGTACAAGTTGGCATGAAGATGTTAGATGCTTGGGATATCTTATTGTCAAAGTTAGAAGATTTTTCAGTTCGTGGTATAAAGTTCTATACACCATCTCCAAACTTCTATTCTATCTTCACTGGATATAAATACGAACAAGTAGAATGGAAAGAAAATGTTATAGAAGCTTGGTTAGACCATGTCAAAGAAATTATATGCAATGGAAACGAAAGAGTCTATGAGTATATCTTATGTTGGTTTGCAAACATCTTACAACATCCAAGTGCTAAAAATGAAACTGCTCTCATTATAATTGGAAAACAAGGAACTGGTAAGAACACTTTCTTTACAGATATCTTATGCAAACTGTTAGAGGGCTATTCGAACCCGAATATGACAAACTTAGAAAACATCTGCGGTAAATTTAACTCTTCAATAGAGAATATGAAACTTATAGTATGTAACGAACTTCAAAGTATAGATACAACAAAGGTTTTAAACTCAGATGCTTTGAAGAGTCTTATAACAGACAAAGTTGGAGTTGTTGAAAGAAAGTATAGAGACCAAAGAGTTTGTGAAAATGTTGCAAACTTCGTCATGGTTTCAAACAATGTTGTTCCGATGAAGTTAGAAAGTTCTGACAGAAGATATGTAGTTGTCAGAACGTCAGATTCTCATATGCAAGATACAGAATATTTTGACGACTTAGCAGAAACTTTGACACCTAACTTTTACAACCACTTGTTCTCATATTTCATGACATTAGATATTTCAAAGTTCAATCCAAGACAAATTCCACATACCGAAGAAAGACAAACATTGTTAGAAGCAAACAAGAGTGTATATGAACTGTTTATAGATGAGACTAACTTTGAGTGTTTAGATGAAAGGTCATTGTACGATGAATATAAACAATATTGTCAAGAATATGGTTATATGGCAGCGTCTAAACGAACATTCTTGGCAAATGTCAAAAATCTTTTAGATGTTCAGAATGGCGTATATACAAAGAAAATTTTTTCTGAGTAAATTTTAAAAAAATATTTTTTTATCCGATAGAAAAGATGACGAAATATATTTCAGTCAACAAATATATGTCAGGACTTAAAGAAGAACTAGACCCATTCATATATTTGAATGTTTACTTCTACCATTTTGAAAAGTCTACATTTGACAAAGTTTGGAACATCGAACCAGTTAAGTTTGCTATTGTGACTAAAAATGGTGCGAAATTTGAAGACTTAGACATAGAAGGTTTGTTAGCAGTCAAAGAAAATTTTGACAGAAGGTTCTCAAACCTTAAAGAAGGCAAAGCATACAAACTTGTTATACCTTATGAACCAAAGAAAGCAGACGACTATGAATATTATGAGTCTAAGATAGTTGAAGTTCAAGGTAAATTGGGTAAAAAGATTTTAGAGTCTAAGCCAGTGTTTGCTCCTAAAGAGGAAGAGAACATTGACATTGACCCAGAAATGTTCTAAAAATAAAATTTTATTTTTACATGTCATATCTCACCTTCTCTGGAACTGGTTCAGGTTCTTTCTTCTCTTCTTCTACTTTCTTTTCTTTCTTTTCTCTCTTCTTCTTCTTCTCTGGTGGAGTTATGTCAAATTTCTCAGAACCATATTTATGTAAAAGTTCTTTGTCCTTTAATAGCTCATCTATTCTGTTTTCTATTTCATCTTCAAGAACAGCGCATGTGCCTTCTTTGCATTCTAAGAACTTTTGTTGGACTTCATCTTTCCAATCGGCGTCATCTCTGTCAACAAGTCTGTCATTGACAAATTTTAAGACTGCTCTTTGTAATGTTTTATGGTTCTTGTCATATTCCCAGAAACAGAACTTTAGAACAAATTCACCTTTCTTGTTTACACTATGTAAGATTTTATGGTCGACAGAAGTTTTAGAGTCGAAAAGCTTGTCTCGAATATAGATAGCGAAATCGCTAGACATTTTCTAAAAGATAAAAATTTTAATTTTTCTAAAAATATGTTAGAAAAAAAGTTTGCTGACATTGACAAGAAATTTGAGAATGTTTTGAAGAAGAACAAGAGGAAGTTGGAAAATGCTCAGATAAAACCCATACATGACAAGTTCTTATTTGCTCAGAATGGTATAACAGGTCTAATCGCACCACCTGGGTCGGGCAAGACTTTCACTTATCTTAAAATGGCTGCACAACAACAAGAACTAGATGAGAAGAACCCATTCTATGAGTTAGTTGTCATTTGTAGTACTTCTGGTCAATTTGACCAAACCGTCAATTCGTTCAAAGATATTATAAAGAAGTCTAAGTTAGTATGTATAAAAGACTCTGAGTTGTTAGATTGGATAAAGAAGTACCAAAGAAGAGTTTTGAAGTACAATGCTATAAATGAGTATATAAATTCGAAGTTTAAAGACCCAAATGAGGAAATGCAGAGAATATTAGAGAAGAAACACTTCAGAAACAAACAGAAAGAGATAGAATACATTTCGAAGAAATTGCAATCTTACGATTGGAAGACTTACCCTCACAGATGTCTTCTTATCTTAGATGATTTCGCCTCTCATCCTTTGTTAAAGAACAGAGAACAAGACATGTGTCGAATTCTTAAGAAACTTAGGCACTTTAACATCTCAGTTGTCATTTGTGTACAGACAGCAAAGAGTTTAAGTAAGGATGTTAAAAGAATACTTACTGATATCATACTTTTCCCTGGATTGTCCGAAGACGATTTCATGGAACTTATGAAAGAGTCCATGGCAGGTAAGTTTGACAGACATGAACTATGGGAGAAGTACAAAGTCATACAAGACCCTCATACTTCTTTCAGAATTCACATCTACGCGAACAAAGTTCAAATTGTAAAAAGTCAAGCTTGAAAAATAAATGGTTCATTTACTCTGCTTGTTTGAAGTTGTCAAAATACTCTGTTATTTTTCACTGTTTTCATGAGTTTTGGCGACCAGGGTTTCTTCCCTACTCGCTGTTCTTCACGATTTTCATACGGAATCTCTTCTCTCGGTTTTCCGAGAGAAGCAATCTTATGTCATTTTACTCAGAATTTTACTCAGAATTCAATAAAAATATATTTTAGGGTAGAAGGGTAGATATAACCTGTTTTCTAACCTCTTTTCTACCCCAGTTATTTTATAAGCGTTTTACATGGTAAACATTGTGAATTCGTGAAATTCTAAACAATTTCGTAGCTTCTATTTCTTCTGTCAGTACATCGAATGTTTTAACTATGCCGAATGTTTCTTTATATTTCTTCTTGACATCTGAAAGAAGGAAATCGTCAGCTGTTGGATAGTTTTTGTTCAGAAATGTCAACATGTCCATTTTATCTTCTGCTGGTTTCTCTACTTCTTTCTTTAAGTCAGCATAGTCGTTTCGCATACGTTCTATCTCTTTGACGGAGTAGTTATATTTCCTCATTGCTGCTTTACATTTTGAACATTGCGGGTTCATTTTAGCATTGTACATTGAAATCTTACCTGCTAGTATGACTAAGGCGTCAATTGCTCTCTTTAACTCAAAAGTTGCGGGTTTTATCTGTTCATTCCATATCTTACCTCTTCTATCTTTATCTCTTATCTGCCATACACATTCAGCAACTAACGAAACAAAGTTGTCGTAGGTCTTAAACTCTTCAGATTTATATGTCAGAGATGTTCTTATATACCATGTCGCAATCTTTGTCCATGACTTTGTGGTTGCAATGAAATCCAAGAAACTCATAGTTAACCTTTCGTATGAACTTCTTTATTTCTACTGAGTCAGTTGCTTTGACTTCTATTTCATCGAATTCTGGAATAGTAAGCTTTTGTTGTTGGATTTCAGGCAATTTGGGTAAATGGTCAATAATATCCTGCATTTCATAAAGATACTGTTCATTTGTTTCATCTTTCGCACTACAGTCTAAATTACTTGTTAAAAGTTCTTGCTTTATCTTCTGGATTTTTGTTTCGAAAGTATATGAAGAAGGAATGAAGCTTTTCATCTCTACTAACATTGAAGTTGGGTTCATGACTAACGAGTTTGGTGCTGTTGTTGCTAACATGTTCTTACAATAAAAATAAAAAATATTTTTTTAAAAAAACCAACTTTATTTTTTATTTCGGGAAAACTCATGACAAATTCAAGAGGGTAGAAAAGAGGTTAGAAAAGAGGTTATATCTAACCTTCTACCCTAAAATATATTTTTGCCGAATTCATGAGTTTTGGTTGAAAGAATACGGTGGAGCCAAAAGTGGCTCGACCTCAAAACAAGCATTTTCTGTATAAAATTCATGAAAATTCATGAGGGTAGAAAAGAGGTTAGAAAAGAGGTTATATCTAACCTTCTACCCTAAAATATATTTTTGCCGAATTCAGCAACAAAATTCAAATTGTAAACGGTTTAATAGAAAAAGTGTATTTTTTTCATGTCCGAAGACTCGAAGGTGCAACACTTCCAAAATACCGACGAACTCAGAAGAGCAGCATGGCAGTATGTTCTTGACAACTTCTTTGAGTTCTCCAGGTACACCTTGGAAAATGCTGAAGAACTCCGACACAGAGAATTTGGAGAAATTGCACTCCAATACTACCTTGACAAACAAACAAAGGGTAAAATAAGACTAAAAACTTAACGTTTAAAAAGTGACATTTTTATGAGCTCCGAGTCACCGAGAAAACTTGGTCAGATGTTAGCAGCTTACTTCCCTGAGGAGGATGGAAGCGTTACATACGTAAGGTTCAAAAACAACGAACCTGGAATTGCGTACCAAATTCGCA